CCAGCACCTTCAGTGCTCATTGCTCAGCATTAGGGTATGGATGTCACGAGGCCTGGCTAGCAACAGGATACCCTACGTCCGTCTCCTGAGGGCATAGGCCTCATCCCCAACACCTCCCGTGTTCTGAGCCCGGGGTCTGGAGGACCTCGCCCTGTCATCCCAGGATCTCCATATTTTCCGTGTGTTCGTGTATTCCACCTTCCCGGGGATTTTAACCTTGTCGCGTCCCAGGATCTACTGTTGATGGACTCATGGACTGTGCCCTGACCATTCACCGTCTCACAGACAATCACTGTTACTTTACTGCACCATTATAGCCCTGTGTGTCTTCCCATACTCCGCCTCCTGTCTCCTTCATCTCTTACCGCTTCACATAGAGTCTAACATAACAGAGCCTGTCCTTAACACTGTGCTTGATTGGCTCAACACTCACGGTCAGACAGATTAACAACAGTTGCGTTATAGCCGTTCAATCAGAGCAGTGCAAAGAACAACAGGTATGGTACCTATTTACTAAAATCAAAAGGGCCAGATCACAAACGTTGCACAGATATTATACAGGTTTTATATAGACTACGGGCTGATTTACAGTGCTTTCCCCTCTCCTCTGATCCACACATCTTTCAAATACTGAAATGCACAGTCAGGTCTGTCAGGGCTGCTCTGTACTGAGTGATGGCAGTTTCAGATTGTTGGATTGTGAGAGAGAGAGGGTTTGGGAGGTGTTGTACAGAGAAGAAGTGTGGGGACAGGAGTTTGTATTAGATTGCTGATTAGATTAGGTTGATTTTCTTTCATTCTAAGTAAAACACTTACCATGGGTCATGAAACTGCTTGGCGTTCTCAGAAGAGAATCCTGGGTCTCTCTGTTCTTCACGCCCTCTCCCTCCTCTGCCAGGGTTCCTGTTCCTGTACCACCTGCACGGCCGGGACATGCTGGACGTCCACGTCCACCAGCTGCTGCTCTATGCCATCTTTGGGGGGGCTCTCACCACCTTCCTGGAAGTCTTCCAGCGGGGAAACATCCTGCTGGAGCTGCTGCGTGCCAGCCTGAGTCTGCTGCAGGGGAGCTGGTTCTGGCAGGTCTGTGTGTCCTTGTGTGTCTGTTTCTATCTGTGGGTCCGTCTGTCTGTGTGTGTGTCTGTATGTTAGTTTCTGTGTGTCTGTGTGGAATTCTGTCAGCCTGTGTCTGCCGAAGGGGAGCTGGTTCAAGCAGGTCTGTGTGCCTGTGTGTGTCTGTCTATAATTCTGTCAGCTTGTGTCTGCTGCAGGGGAGCTGGTTCAAGCAGGTCTGTGCGCCTGTATGTCTGTCTGTGTGTCCGTCTGTTCGTGTGTCCGTTTGTCTGTGTGTCTGTCTGTAATTCTAAATGTCTATCTGTGTTTTTTTTGTCTGTTGGTGTCTGTCAGTCTGTAATTCTGTCATTCTGTCTACCTGTGTGTGTCTGTTGGCCAGTCTGTCTGTAATTCTGTTAGTGCCAGTCTGTGCGTATGTCTATCTGTGTGTGTGTGTCAAACTGTAACTCTGTTTGTGATTCTGTCAGTCTGTGTCTATTTGTGTCTGTGTCTAGGTCCATCTGTCTTTCTCCAACAGACTGTCTCTGTTACTGAGCTTTTTGTAAAGCCTTTTTGTACACTGTTTTGTATGATAATTACATCAATGAGAGATAATAATACAACTCTAAGGATCGAATGATATATTTTGAATGTTATACATTGGGTATTTTGACTGAAGCACCGGCGGTGTGCCCTCCTGGGATTTGAACCCACGCTCCCCCAGTCCGGAGCCCTAACCTCTCCTCCACGCCGTGGCCCAGCTCGACGGGTCTCCGCACTGCTCCGCTGAGCGTCTGCTCTCCCCCCATGGCAGATCGGCTTTGTCCTGTACCCCCCCAGCGGGCTGGCGGAGTGGGACCTGAAGGACCACAACAACATGATGTTCATCACCATGTGCTACTGCTGGCACTTCGCCTTCGCCCTGGTCACTGTGGCTGTCGTCTACTCCACCGTGTGCTGGTGAGCCCTCCTCGCGCACACATCCAGGGCCCTCCCTGCCTGGAGCGACGGCCTGGTTATTTCTTCATTGACGCTGTGGCTGTGGAGATTTCACACTGCGTGTTTCATATTGTGGTGATTTACCCCATCATTGACGATACTGACACTGTCCCAAGGTGGTGGCTGTAGGTCACCTTGGTGCTCATGGGGCGGTGCACTGGCTCTGTGGCTAAGGATCTGTGCCTGTGGCTAGAAGGTTGCCGGTTTGTTTCCCACGGCCGGCAACCTACTCCGTTGGGCCCCTGAGCAAGGCCCTTACTCCCAACTACTCCAGGGGTGCTGTATAAATGGCTCTGACCCCAAGCTTCTCTCCCTGTCTGTGTGTCTCATGGAGAGCAAGTTGGGGTAAGTGAAAAGACAAATTTCTAATTTAAGAAATTCTAGATGGATAATAAAGTGATCTCTCTCTCTGATCTTGTGCACCTGGATTCAAAGAACACAGTTAACACCTTGTTAAGGAACAAGTAAAGGCTTCTGCCATGTTGAAAAGTAAAGAGACACAATGTTTTGGCCATGGAGCCTTCTTCAGGCATGTCAGTCAGTCATGTCACTTTTTTTGTTTGTTTTCACCATGGAATAAACCTTTACAGCCTACGCATGCTGACACAGCTACCTACTTGAACTTCTCTAACACCGTGATATGGTTCAGTTCAGTTAACAAGTTGTGTATTGGCACTCAGTGAAAATACAGTGAAGCTCGATGCAGATTGTTTGAATGGGAGAGATTGGGAGAGATTGGTACTGGACTCTCTTTCTGGATTCTGCAATGAATGTGACAACTCAGATGAGTAACCAGCTGGGAAGTAACTCAAGAGTAACCCAGTCTGAGAGGAGGAGCCCAACGTTGAGCCGCTCTGGACCAGTGCTGGTTGCCAACAGATTCTTTCCAGACTTTTGTTTTATTTCATGGTCTTTAATGGCGTCACTGTTATCATAAGACCAACAGGAAGCTGACGAATGAGAAGAGGCCGTTCAGCCCAGCTTCCTCATTTAGTAGCAGAGCTGGCGAGAGAAGTTCTGTCCAATTGTTTCTTCTAGAATCCAGAGTCTGGGCTTCCACCATGTAGCTAGGAAATTTGTTCCATACACCCAGACTCTCTGTGCACAGAAGCTAGTCTCAATCCTAAATAAATTAACATTTTAGTTTCCGTGTATGACCTTGTGTTCTTTTGTCCCCTGGGCTGACCTTGTCTGTGCCCCTGAGGATTTGGTAGTTTTGTGAATTTGAGGGTTTTTTTTTTAAATTAGCCCTAAAAAATGAAATTTTTAAAATTAGACACCTCCCTTTAACACAGCTACATCTCAACAGCTGACACAGAAAAACGAGTCGCCCTCCTGCGCCTCCGTGTCCTGTGTGTGTGTGTGTGGTGGAGCAATCTCACAGCTCAGTGACGAGCCTGCTTGTCTCTTCTCAGGGTGACGCGCTCCCGTCTGAGACAGACCCCCCCACTGGAGATGGGCCTGCTGAAGACGGCCGAGAGAGAGCTGGAGTCTGAGGATGAAATGTAGGCCTGAGCTCGGGAGAGAGAGGTGAAAGAAGATTCACTGACTGGTCCTCCCTTTCCATATGACAGGAATACTGACCCACCTGGCCCACCCCACACCCTAGGACACCCCTTTCCCAGGAAAAGCAGTAGAAAGCACAGATTGTGTTCCCTGAACTACAGGAACCTTCCGGCACCGTACCTGACCACTCCTCTCACATAATGAAAGACAACACCAAAAGACAACAGAGAAACTACAGTGGAGGAAGAGGCAGTGAAAGGTCATCAGAAAGGAGGAACGGGCCAATCCATTATACAACAACAGAACCAAAGCCCTGATCTCTCCGTCTGCCTCCTCCAGTGATTCTGTCAGAGTGGAACGAGTTTTCTTCTTGTGCTCCAATTGTCCTGGCATTTCAGTTTTCACAAGAAGCTGAGTTTGAAAAGTTTTTAAAGTCCCCCCCCCCGACTTTTAACTGAAATAGTTTTAGTTTTAACTGAAAAGCCAGGACGACGGCCTATTGCTTTTCCCTCCCAAGATTCATTTAGTTTAGAAATTATAAGCGTGATGCTTCCATCTAGTGGCGAATACTGGCATTGACGTTAGTTGTTCGACGAAAGGATATTACGTCTTTCAACTCATATATTGTGAACAGGGTTGTAATTTAAAAATTAACATGCACATAATACTGAACATTAATAACAATACAGATATATATATATTTATAAACAGGAAATATGGTGGGTGTGTAGAGGTGCTGTAGTGCCTAAACAATTATTTGTACTGTATTCAAATGCTGACATAATTTTGCATTTAGGTATGAATATATATATTCACTTTTCCTTAGCTGAATCATGTTTCATGAGTGAAATTAGTGATGATGCTCTGTCAAGGCCAGTTCATGGTGTTTCTCTGTTCAAGATGACCAATTAGACTCTGTGCCTTCATGAATGCATGTTCACTGCCAAATGTGCCCTGCTTTTCTGGAATTAAGCCTAGCTGTGGTATAACTGCCTATCTAATCACAACAGGTATACAATATTGTAGATACATTTCTTACGCAACAGCTGAAGAGGAACTTAGAGCCGAAATGCCCTGAAACAAATGATTTAAAAAATATATATTTAAACCCAGTGTACAACGATAAAAACGTCCTTCTTCAGAATTTTTGTTTCACTACAGTCAAGCTCCCCATCTCTGTAAGCTGTCCATTAGTTGATCTCTCCATTCATTCATCTGATCTGCTTTCCAGTGGGTTACTGTGCTTCTGGGAAAGTTGGGGAAAAATTAACTTTTTGTATTGCTGGATAAAAAACGTTTGATCACCACCCTGAAGCAACACAAAGCAGAGACAGTGAGGCAGAGCTTGGGTACGACTGAGTGGTTGGGTGACCTAGGAGACCTTAAAACCTTTTCCCAGTCACAGTGACATCATTAATGCAGTACAAGGATGAGAATATGAAGCCAATGAATTTTGACTTGGTAGTGGGATAGTGTAGCGACCTAATGTTCAGTGCAGCTTCCACAGCTCTTGGGTTCCAGGTTTGATCTGAACCTGTGGTACCTTCGTGTGGAGTTTGCATGTTCTCATTGTGTCCCTGTGGGTTTTCTCCAGCTGCTCCCATTTCCTCCCACCCAGTGCCTTAGCTTGTAAATGTGTTATTGCAGCCATTGTAAATGAGTACATTTAAAACTGAAGCTGTTGACAGAATGATCAGAGGAAAAGGGAAATATGTGAGACTGTCTTTTTACTAATGTGTAAATGAGACATATTACCTGGGATGAAGACATAAAGCTTTATTTTGCATAGCTCCTAAATATATTCTAATCCTAAATAATTTATTTATACATTTGAATTGCATGTTGATAAAAACAGTGTTGAAAGCCAAAGACCAACAAGCCTTTTATATGTTGATATTTATATACCAAAGGTTCTCAGTCTTTTCAGGGAGAGGAATCCCCCTTTCAAGAAATTGCTCTCAAATAACCCCAGATACTAAAGCTATCAATGAGGAATGGCATTAATTGCAAAGTCTTCGAACATCAGGTGCAATAGCAGATTGACCGTGCCTGAGTGTCGATTTAACATGCTGTTGAAACTGGCGGTGAGACGCCTCCTTTTGTTTCTGGGGGACCCCACACTGGACTTGGAGGACCCCCGAAGATCCCCTCAGATCACGTCTTAGCTGCAGTAAACAGTGAGAAGTCCGGTACTGTGAATAGCGAACCTTCGTCCTTATTTATTCTCTTCATAAAGGGTGAAATGTCTGTGAGGAACTTAGTCTTTCAGCTCAGTTTGTAATTCTGTCTTTGCTGTGAGTGTTACTGCAAGTGTGTCCGTACCTACAGTCCACTTTATTCCCACAGTGCTGTTGAAGGAACTGCTAGTTTGCTGGCTGAAACACAGCCTTGCAAAGGACAAAGTGAGGAAGTCACACTGATCTTTGCAGTGCAAGTGAAGAAGGAAGCCAAAGAGGTGTTTCCTTATAAACACGAGTAAAATGACTCACTTCCCTTTACTGCCCTGCTCAATGAGCCCACTGCTTAATTTTGATTTCTTTAAACATTTACCTTTTCTCATATTTTTATTGAAATGGACCCACGTGCAGTCTTTCATTCTGCGCAAGAGTTTTTAGAGATCAAGATGAGATTTTGTAGGGACAGCCTGAAGTGCTCTTAATGGACCCTCTGCTATCACACCCTTCAGCTGATGTAAAGAACCTTCTCCCTGCTACATCACGCATTACCGAGTGTATTTTTCCGTTCTTTCTAGATCTTACTCTGTCTTGCTTTTCGTACAATGATATTTATTGCTCTCCATTCTTTCCGCAGCCGTTTCAGCTCTGTCATGTGATCGCTGAGCAGTTCAAACGCTGATGGTACAAAAAAAAGTGCAAATTTTTGGAACTTCAGTGATCACGTGTTTTTCAACCAGGGTCGTTTGTTAAAACGTTTGATTCCGAAAATGCCAATAAAGTCTTACTGAAACCTTCTTTGACCTTGTTTTTCGTTCCTGTACATCAAGCCCATGCTCTGCATGTCGATGTTCTAGAAAGAAACCTTCTGCACGTCGAATACCTACTGCGAGTCTAAGTGGGGGTGGCGTGGCGATGCTGTGGAAAGCGTCTTGGACTCTTCTTGGGTTTGGCACAGAGAGGCTGCTCACTGCTTTTCAACCCAGACCTCTTCCAGACCCTCTCTGGGATGCGGCCCCCCATTCCGGGGCGGAGCTGCGGCTCTGTGCTGCTTCTCTCTATTCCGAGGAGAACCCTGGGAGCGTTCCAGCGTTCTGCACTGAGCGCCAGGGGCCCAAGAGCACTCAGAGAGGCAATTTAACCCTAAGCTCCTGGTGGGGAACTGGGTTTGACTGCGTTTGTATTCCTAATGTCTCAGCACAGGGGCGCAGTGGTTAGCGGCCCTGGGTTCAATTCTGTGTGGAGTTTGTATGTTCTCACCATATTCATGTGGGTTTCCTCCCGCTGCCCAAAAACACGCTGGTAGGTTAATTGGATTCTGAGTAAGTAGCCCCTGGTGTGAGAGTCAGGGTTTGTGTCTATCTGCCCTGCCTTGCACCCGTTCCTTGCTAGATAACACCTTGGCTCTCCTGTGATCCTGAACTGGGAGACAGTGAAAGAGATCTCAACTTCCCACACAGAGAAAATAAGCTATTGCAATTGTTATGCAGAACAGGATTCTTCAGGCAGTTACAGGACTAGAGCGTGGATTTCTTTATTTTTATATCTGCCACTATTAGTTTTCGGGCCACTGCATGAAATGTGACGGGTGTGGAGAACAAATATAACTTCCTACTGTATAGTATCACTGCAGCGCTGTTCCAAGACAGCCGCCAACTCTGCGAACACTGAGCAGTGTCATCGCGGATCCAAGTTTTCGCATTTGCATCCCTGAGATCACTCTGTGAAGAATTCCTGATCACATAAAGAGCGTCTAATTTAGTCTATGTTATTTACCGCCAATTATGATCTCCTCTTGTCGTTCGCCTCAAACCACATACTAAAGCCAGGTGGCGCGACAGCTCCTTATCGCCGCAGTCCCGGCACGCCGGGAGTGCGTGTTGGCGTCACCGTTGCCGTAGTGACGGACCCAGCGGCAGGGAGGACGTCGAAAGGAAGTTGGCGAATTCACCTGTTGCCACTCGAAGACACTCACGTTAACGAGCCAAACAGTTAACCGAGCCGCCCGGCAGCAGTGTCCTTCGTCGAGACCTTCATGGACAAACTCAAGAGAGTGCTGAGCGGCCAGGACGGAAACGATGATCTCAATGTACTGCAGGTAAAAAAAAAAAAAAACCGCTGAGGTTGCTTTGCATGAGAACGGGCTGAAACAGCACGGCCCTGTGCCGGACCTGCTTACTGGTGGCACCGCTGACAACGCGCCCAAAACGCACATCAGCGACTTCTCCTTTAAAATATATTGATTAGTCCTGTAGACCGACGTGGTTGGGGCTGTTGATAGGGTGGCATTTTTTTTAACGTTAAGATCAGGCTGGGACTGAGCCTACTCGTCCACCTCTCACGCCTCCAGTCTTTAAGTAATACCGTGTGTATACTGTACCTCTGGCTCTGATCTCCACTGATTCGAGTCAGTGCGGCGCACGGTTACTCCTGATTCAATGCTGTGGAGGGGGGGTGTATTTTGGGCGGACCTTCTGACCCAGTTGCAGGATTTTGTGACCTGTTTTTAAGGGTGAGACCAGAACTGGAGAACATGAATAACTAGGTGTGTCTCTCGTCCTAGTGACAGCTGCTTTTGGTTTGGCTTGATTTCACAGAGTGAAATGGCTCACATTGCATTATAGGAGAGTTACAGGGCCAGTGCTGTTTTGTACACATGGTCTTTCGCAGGAACAAGATACTTTGGGATAGTTAGAGCGAAGCGTACACACCAAACATACCCTCAGCCTAGCAATCGATAGCTTTGCGATCGCTTGATTATTGTCATTTCTGGTTTTGCCTGTGAGCGGTTCTGCTTCCGCTATGCTCCAGCTGTGGTTTTCTCGATCCCAGTGGGCCAGTGTCCCCTTTCGACTCGGGAGTGATCTCTGGCCCCCGGAGAGGTCACTGACCGTGAGGGCTGCCGTGTGCTGCTCTCGCCGCGCTGCCGGCTCTGCCGAGGCTCGAAAGCGTCGTTGTTCCTTATTCTGAAGAGGGACACAAGCCCGCAGCAGTTCTCATATGAATCTTCCACCCACCCGTTTTCGAATCACTTGATCCACTACATGGGTCGTGGGGGAGCCAGAGCCTACCCCAGCAAGCAAGAGGCGCTAGGCAGGATACACTGTGGACTGGATGCCGGTCAGTCTCCGAGCACGCACACACACTCTCTCACACACTCAATTCAATTCAAGGTGCTTCATTAGCATGCCCGATGGGTACAATCAGTGTTGCCAAAGCACATAAAATAATGAAATTCCCATGAAACAAAACAAATAATAAAAGTAAAACAAAATCTAAAGACATTTACAACAAAGACATATTATAGAATATTGACATATACTGTAGACAGAAGGAGCATTATTGGGAGACAGGCTCACTGTTCCTCAGGCTGTGACAGGAGATCACATACTGGGCTGCCAGTTCCACTGAGTTCCCTCCTCCCTCTCCCAGTAGGATTGGGACCTGTTGTGATTCTGGCACACTCTTTCACCCACGCACGCACCTGGAGGAAAGTCACGCAAACCCATGTAGGAAGAACATGCAAAATCCATGCAGATAGCATGCCAGGAATATTAACAAAAGCAAGACTATCACATTGCTGTTCTTCGTGGAATACCTGTATTTTGACCAGACAGGGGATTGATGATTTTGCTGAAAGATGTTTTATTTTTCGGGTTTTCTAGCCGTTTGTCATCATAAGTGTTAGAGTACCTGGTAAGGCTAGAAGATACTTCCTTTACACAGTCCTTGGATCATTTTCAGCTTTTACCAGAGTGCAGATTTTACTGGTGAAGCCTGGAAGCTAATACATTGAATGTTCAGTTTTTTGCCTGGTGACGGGTAAACCTATTTTTGGAATGAGTGAAGGCATTTTAAATGTTGTGCACTTGCCGATAAACCCAAGTCTGAAACCAGCAAAATCCAGAATGGCTCTAGCAGTTGCATGACAACAGTCTTAACCTATCCGCCTGGCCTTCTCTGTCATAGTGAGCGGACTTAAAAGAATAACCCAATCTTATGGCTTTGTCCACACAACAGGGCTTTATTTTAACAGCATGGTGATGCGGTTGCTGTAGTCATACTTTCCAATGTGCTTCAGTGTGGACTTCGTCTGAGGAATCTGAAAATGCTGATCTAAATGCTAGGAACCCTGTGACATTTGTCCAGGTTGATCTGTCAGATTCACACAAAATAAGTTCCACTACAGGATCATAGTTTTGAGGTGGGGATTTTCTTGGATTCTGATTTATTTGTACACTGGAATGACCCAGGGCTCATCTGGTGCACGAGTCGATTACAGTGATGTAACCCCTTAGGATACTGATTAGTGTTGAATTCTTCCATGACAGGAGGCTGGCCTTTCAGCAGAGAATTCATCTCTGTTGGTGGAAGTGCTGGGGGCTGAGAGGGTGGTTGAATCCCAACTGTTGAATCCCACCCTGTGACGTGCTTCAGGAAAGGCAGAAATGGCTCAAAGTGCTATGTAACGGAAACCTGTGTTAAGTTTTTTAACTGTAACAATCTGCAGTGGTTCTCCCACTTAACTTTCTGTGATCTGTTCTCCTCTAGGCAGCAAATGAGGCCTCCAGCTTGAGCTGGAGTACGAGAGTGAAGGGCTTCTGTGCCTGTTTTGCACTGGGTGTGCTGTGCTCAATTCTGGTGAGTAAAAGTGTCAGCGGCATTTTGACAAAATAAAATAAGATCGCTTTATTGATCATAAACAATCTCTTCTATTAGGAATTTGTCTTTTTTTTCCCGCAAACCCAAGCTTGCTCTCCATGCGACACATAGACAGGGAGAGAAGCTTTGAGTCAGAGCGTGGGGTCAGCCATTTATACGGCGCCACTGGAGCAGCTGGGGGTAAGGGCCTCGCTTAGGGGCCCAACAGAGTAGGATTCCTCTGCCGTCTGCAGGATACGAACCGGCAACCTTCCAGGCACAGGCGCAGATCCTGAGCCACAGAGCCACCGTCCACTGCCATTTTGCAGCATGCTAACTGGGATAATAAATGTGGTGCTGAAGCCTAGCTAAAGGGACACATTTTATGTCACCAGCTGTGAGATGTTGCTGTTCCTTTCTGCTTTGTGAGGAATTGTTTCAAGGGAATTCCACCTTCTCAAGTCATCATTTTATCTGTAGAGCAGCTGTAACAATGACCTAACCCATCAACAGGAACACTCTTTTCATCACATGGCCAGTGTGTTGTCATATGCCATGATCTCGTCTAGTTCCAGATGGGGCAGATATTACTTCCCATAATATGCCACCTTATTGTACAAGGTAAAAGTACTTGTAGCCATTGAGTCCATTTAAATGTTTGCATTTGTAACTTCCTCAAAGCTTTAGTATTAAGTATTAAGTATTAAATATCCTGATATTTACTGCTCGGCTGTGAATTCCAGAGCCTTTGCCTCCTTCTCTTTTAGAGGTGCTGTAAAGAGAAAATGAAGCTTTTTGAAGAACCAGTTTCAAAGGAAGCTGGTTATATAATCGGTCATGCTGGTCACGTGACCTTTCATGGGAAGAGGATGCCAATGCTGTTTTTATAGAACGTAAAGTAACACAGTAGAAGTATTAATAATAATACTATTATTATTATTAATAATAATACGTCAATAATAAGCATGAGGTTAACTATCCAACAAGGTTCTGTATCTTTCAAAATGATTTGGTCCACATGGAATATTTACTCCCCATGTTTTCCAGAATTTTCCAAAGCTATTTTATGATCAAGATAATTCTCTTTCCTGGTGCGTCCCTTTCTCGTACATTCTTCGCATGCTCGGTCTCAATCAAATGCAGGTGTTTTCATAAATTGGCAGCACAGGGTGCTGAGGAGCAAATCGATTTGAAGGATAAGAGCGAGAGATGTATGACACACACACACACACACACACACACACACACACACACACACACACACTATCAGGAGTAAGTATTTCTTCGTAGTTGCCCGTTTTTTTTCTTGGAGAAGATTCTCAAGCCGATGGAATGTTAAAGATCTTGGAGAGAAGAGAGCTCTGTCGTTCGTGGTGGGGAAATGGTCCTGCGCGGAAGTGATGGCGGTGTCTCTGGGCTTTCCCTTCCCTTCTGGTTTGGCCGGTTTGAAGGAATGCTTCTTGCAGGAATGTGCTCAGGCTTGAGCACCGCGGGCGTTCCACCTCCTGCTCACAACGCCTTCTGGCTAGCACAGGGGCCTCCGCCTCCAGCTCTGCTGTTGACCTCAGTGTAGCCACTGAAGGATCCACCATCAATAAAGAGACGCTTCCTTTCCTTACTGGAAGGCTGTAGGCATGCTGCCCGCTCCACTCACAAACAGTGCAGTGCAGTGCAGTGCAGTGCAGTGCAGTGCAGTGCAGTGCAGTGCAGTGCAGAACAGTACAGAACAATGAAGATTCATACAACACATCTACTGTAGAAACAGTAGGGTTGTTTCTTTGGAAACTAAACTTTACTTTCTAATGGTAATGTTTGTATTAGTTCACAATGATCACTTTTAAAGATTTTAAACTTTGCTGTTATGATAAGCATCAAAAGACACACTTGGCACCATTTTTTGGATATAATATATGGATTTTGGATATTTATTAACTGTTTTGGTGTCCTTTGTATTAATCAATCATTCATGGTAGACCATGATATACATTTGAGTGACTTGAAGTGTTGCAAAAGCACTAAATCCCCTCGGCAGTGATTTACAGCCCTGGCGATGAAGTGATTTAGCATGTTCATAATCAATCCTGTTGGGAATGAAGAAAAACATAGAAAGTAAACAATGTGCCTCATTTATCAACAGAACAATTGCATTGGCGGTATGCTGGTCACTTGCCAGCAGTGTCTAACCTGTCCAGTCAAACAACAGTCAAAGTCTGTCAAAGGTACAGTAGGCAGCAGTCTAAGATAAGACTCCTCTCCAGGATCACCACTGTCCAGATGGGATGGTCTGCGTGGGAGAGTCTAGTGACTACAGAATGGTATTTGTAGTGATTGATGGCAGCTTGACTGGGTCACATCCTGTGACCTCACTTGCTTCCTTCATCCTGGCTTGACAACACATCCTCAGGCAGCTTGTGTAACAGCAGCTTTATTGAGAGATGAGAGTGCGACAGTAATGCGCTGGATACATTACTTTACCACACTTGAGTGCCACTGAACATCTGCGGGGAGAGTGATGGTGTGTGGCATCAAGGGCTTGGCGACCAGTGAACAAGTTACATGTTTGTCCAGAGGAATATCCTTCATCAATCATTGTTTTGTTATAAAAATTGGGGGAAAAAATACAAATGTAGAAAAGTAAATGCGCTCGGGCGGCACGGTGGTGCAGTGGTTGGCATTGCTGCCTTACAGCTCTGGAGCCCTGGGTTTGAATTCTGGCTCTGGGGTGCTGTCTGTGTGGAGTTTGTGTTCAAGTTTATTGTCATTATACTCATACACATTTATATGGTATAACGAAATGCTATTTAGCTAGCTCTCAGATGATACGTAATACAAAAAAACAACAACAATACAATTGTATGAGAAAAGAAAGACAGAGACAATAGGCAATGTGCAAAAACAACAACAGGTAACAGGTAATGTGCAAAACAGCATCAGATGTGCAAAAACATACATCAACAGAATGAAATAAAGGATAGAAAATTATGGGGAGTGAACTTCTTGACATGTGAGGTAGAGGTAGATTTCAATGTGTGTTTGGGTTTTGATGAAGAGAGAAGGCGCTGTGAGGGTTCAGATCGTGGGTGAGAGAGGCTGGGAGTTTAATAGTTTGATGTCTGAGTCAGGTAGTCCGAGCCAGAATGCTGCGGTACAGTTTTCCAGATGGTAGAGGGTCATACAGTCTGTAGCTGGGATGCGTGGGGTCTTTGATGATGCTTAGAGCTTTCCTCAAGCACCGTCTCTCATAAATGTCCTGTATGGATGGGAGGGCAACCCCAGTGATGGACTGGGCAGTTTTCACATCCTCCCTGTGTTTCTGTGGGTCTCCTCTGGGTGCCCCGGTTTCCTCCCACATTCTGAACCCGTGCTGATGGGTGAATTGGCTTCTGGAAAGTCTGTCCCCGGTGAGGGGTGAGGGGACTGGCGTCCCATTCAGGATGTACCCCGCCTATTGCCCGTTGCTTGCTGAGATAGGCTTTGGCTCCCCCGCAACATGAAATTGGATGAAGAGGTTAGAAAATGTATCAATGTATAAAATAACCCCAAATTTTGGATAGTGAGTATAATAATATTTGCTACTTAAAGTGCAAATGTGCTTGTATATATGTATCTTATGAGGAATGTCTAGGGTGTGTTTTAGGAACACTTGGTAGCTATGAATTGTGAGGATGAATAGGCACATACACCCATTTCATTGCCTGAAGTTAGCTATGCTCAGCTAAAGAACACTAATAAGTGCACAACAGCTGTCTTTAGCTGATAAAATTGACTTTATATATGCAAAAGCAGGAATTCGAAGTGCTGCTTGAGTATCTACTGTATATAAAACTGAGTTTCTCCTCCAGTCAAAGATGTTCATCTTATCTTTTTCAACAGAATGTCATTGTTCCAGATGTTAACCCCAAATCCTAAAAACTAAAGACAAGAAAAGGATGAATATATCCCCAATTTAATTCATGTCTGTCGTACTTCTAAACTGAAATATGTATCCAAAGCATCCTTTTGTCCGGTTCTTAAACCATGCGTTGTCTTTCAGGGAACATGTTTGCTGTGGGTGCCCAGAATTGGATTACTGCTGTTTATCATCTTGTACACCTTTGGCAATATCGCGTCTCTCGTCAGGTAAGTCTCGC